ACTAGTTAAAATAACTTGCAAACTATATTATTATTATTTTTTATTTTTTTTTGAAATTTTATAAAACTAATTATTTTAAATCGTTTAAAATTGAAGAAGCTCAAAATGATTAATTTATATTGTGGAGGTCCAAAATTGGGTGTCAACAAGTGGAACACCTCAAAGTACATGTGGTGACTATACACATGTTGAGTATCAATAGATTGAACTTTTTCTCCTGAAGATAGCAACCTGCAAATATATAATACAAGATGGTAGAGCCAATTTTTAAACATGCATGGCTATATAATCTCAATTTCATTTCACATCGAGAACATACAAAGGTAGAGCAAGTATGTTCTTGAAAAGTATAGCAGAACTTTTAAGCCCCTAAAAAAACGATCTAAATTAAAACTCACCGCCATAGTAAACATTAAGAGGTTTCCTTCAAAGCAAAATGGTGGAGGTCATAGGATACTAAAACTGTTTTTTCATATTACAGTAGTTTTTCAATAAATGCATAATTAGTCCACAAAGTTGAAACTCTTCTTATCATGGCAATCTAACACGGTGAGGTTCCCTAAGGTGTTTCTTTTTCCATCAGGTGGATACATAAGTTTCGACTAATCCTAACAATTGAATATGTGTATCCATATTGGAGATTAACATATCATTGGAACTTGTTGAAGAATTTGAAGAAATAGAACACCCTTCTCTTTCTTTTCTTTTCTAAATTTTACTACATGAACTATCAACAACTATTCATCATTAAAAAAAACACACCTCAAATACCAATTGTCCTACTAGAAACCTCAAATATCAATTGTCCTACTAGAAAGTGGTGATATTTTAGGTAGGAAATTGACAAACCTGATAGTTGAAGTGTGTTTTGACAAATAGTTGGTAATAGTCCTGGTAGAAAATTCACACGCCTGATAATTGAAATTCTGCAACTCGAAAAATTGAGATACTTTAGGTATATTTTTTTTAATCAATAACTCTAAATCAAATAAGTTGTAGAATAATTGTACAAAAAGCAACAAAGATCGTACTTTTAAAGTAGCAATAATGTGAAGTGCACTACTTGTTACTAAATAATCTATTTTTTTTAAAAAAAAAATTGACAACATAACTAATGAAATCCTAATAGAAATTTGTATATACCAAATAGTTAAACAAGCATCTTTACACTACTTGAAAATTTTAAAATTATTTCCGCTTTATCTAACGTACTTTCAAGCTTTATTCTTATTAAAAAAATTCTTAAGACATCTCAAATTTATTTTTGGAGAGTTAAAGTTGTGGGTGAGATAGTCGCTCAATTGCAATCAAATGATGAACTTAAATGCTTACGTGCATATGTCATGTCCCCAAGTTGATCAAATGAAACCCACCCAAATGATATACTACCATTTTATAGGAATATATCACCGATTAAAGAGATTAAAGAAATTATGAAACCAAAATTAGGCAAAAACGATACACATAACAAATTAACTACTTTAGAAAAGCAATAATTATCAAATAGTTTCATTGCAGCCGTCTCGTTCCTTACCTCACAATATGTGAATTCCAAAATAAGTTATGTGCATATGCAAAACTTTCCATTTCTTAATTCATCTGCAAAGTGTAAGATCGATTGAACTGGTAGAAACTCAACTTGAAAAATTAGGATAAAATAAAAAATAAAGTGAAAGAAATTTGTAGTTATATTAAACTAAAATGCAGAAAAGTAACAGAGAACAAACCAAAGAGAAAAAAAAAGGGGAAAATGAAGAATGTATATATAATATAAAGTCAAATATAGATAACGTGATGTGACACCTCTCTAAGGCCACCATGTTATTTATCTTCTTTTTTTAAAATCTTTTTTTGACATTCTCTCTATTTTCTTCTTCTTATTTTTTAGTTTAAAAAGTAACTATAACCTATCCTATTTATGAGGTTTCATTAATTTTTTTAACAATCATATTAATTCATTGTCTATAAATTATTACATTGACTTTATTAATTATAATGTATCGGTTGAAGAAGTGAAAAGCCGCTCTATGTCTTCTCCTTTCTTAATCCATTTTAATTACTCTTTTTAAAATTTCCATATTTTATTTTATATTTTTTAATATATATACACTAAAGTTGGAAAAAAAGTAATATAATACTAATTTAGGTGAAGAAATTTTCAATTCATTTTACCTTCTTCTGATTATAAACTAATACTAATATTTTGTTTATATTATATATATATAAACTCATGTTTTGTTCATGAATACTCCCAAAGTTAGTCTTTCTTTTCTTCATCACTTTTGAATTGTATTTTATAACCTGTAACACAAAAGGAATATATGAAGATAAGAAATATTTCATCTCAAGTCTATCTTTTCATTTTTATGTAATTAGTTATGCTTTCATAATTGAATGTGTTTTTTTACGTATTCGTTATACTTCTCCAAGCAAGTATATATACATGATCGATAAAGAAAATCTTCATGACAATGATATTGAGGTAATTTTGAATAGTAATAGTAATATTTTAAATGCATTCTTTTTGTATGATTGGTCGAAAAGTTAATCTAATTTAACAATTACATAGTTGAGTTTGATTATAATATTTGTTAGATTTCAAGTAATCATGAATTTTGATTGTTAGTACACTCATTATTATTTTTTTGCAAATGTATTGTATAGTATATATTTCTTTCTTCTCTTTTCATATAATTATTTTTGAATTGGTATAATTGAAATAAAAATATTATAAATATCATACATATTGTAGTATCATATCAACAATCATACATACATTTTTTGTGTAAATTTGTTAGATTTCAAGTAATCATGAATTTTGATTGTTAGTACACTTATTATTATTTTTTTGCAAATGTATTGTATAGTATATATTTCTTTCTTCTCTTTTCATATAATTATTTTTGAATTGGTATAATTGAAATAAAAATATTATAAATATCATACATATTGTAGTATCATATCAACAATCATACATACATTTTTTGTGCAAATTAATTAGTAGCATATGACAAGGGCTTTGGCACAGTTTCAAGGAGCGGAACATGATGATGGATTTATTTGTAAAGGGAAGGCCTAGAAAACTTTTTGAAGCATATATAGAAATTATTTTTGCTAGAAATTTTCTTACTTTTAACTTGTAATAGTAGTTTTGTTACACCTATTGATAATGTTATTCAAAAAATTTTGTTTCAAAAAAGCAATAAATGTCTACATAGAAGATTGTAGTCTACAATAGATAGAGAAAATTTAAAAAGAAAATATATCTTCAATTCAATACAGTAGATTATTGTTTCAAAATTAACCTCTTATATTCCATTTACCTTGTCACTTATATATCAGTTTTTGTTTAACAAATACTATTGTACATATTGAAGAAAAATGAAAAAAAACTATATATTATATTCAGGATGAAAACAATATTTATATTATCTTCATTGCTTAATATGAATGTATATAAATATTACGTACCACTTCACTTAAAAATAAGAAACTATCATATATATATATACTAGGTAATGTTGCCCGTGCTATGCACGGGCACATGCCCAATAATATAAATGGTATGTTTTGGGGCTAATAACGGAGATTTTGAAGCGATTGTTTGCGTGGGAATAAGTTTTTTTATCACAAAGTTGTACTTTATTTGACGCTATTCAAGGCACAATAAGACTATCCACATACAACATTTTTGAAATATTTTATGTTGTCAATTATCATGATTTATAGTATTTTTACGATAGATTCACTTAAAGAATGAGTGGAATTTTTTGTATTTTTTTTCAAAACATATTTTATGTTGTCAATTATCATGATTTATAATATTTTTATGTATTTTTTAAATATAAAAAACCCAAAAAAAATAAGACAAATAAATTAAAATGGACCCAATATATGTTATTTTTGTTGTCTCAATTTATGTCACACAAATAAAATATGGAGAGTCATCCAAATTTTAATTTTTTTTTTAAAAATGTTTTAAGTTATTAATTATTGTGATTTATAATATTTTGATGTAACTTTCAAATAACCAACATTACTGGTCACTTTGTCCTAATTTATGTGATATGGATAAAATTACAAAATTAACCCTTTTAAAATGTCTTTTAGATATTTTAAGTTGTTAATTATTATTATTTATAATACTTTTTTGGTAATTTTAAAATGATATGTGTTATTTTTTCTGTCTTAATATATGTGAGTCTGAAAGAATTCTGAGAGTGAACCTATTTTATTATATAGCTTTTAAATATTTTAAATTGGTAATTATTGTAATTTTTAATGCTTTTTAAGTCATTTGTAAATGATATATGTTGCTTCCTTTGTCCCATTTTATATAGTATAAATAAAATTCCCGAAACCAACTAAATTTTTAATATATTTTTTAAAATATTTTAAATTATTAATTATTGCGATTTATAATATTAAAAAAAAAAGTACAAAACTTGTATCAGCCAAAAAAATGACCACGATAATTCGAAGCCTACAGAAAGCAATATGGTTGTACGTAATTTTTAAATACTTAATATATATTACTCCACTTGTCTCAATGTATGTAGCATTGATAAAATTTCAAGATCCAATCAAATGTTGTTAATTGTTAACGTTTATAATACATTTTACGTAGTTTTCAATAATTTCACATTAAACAATACATATTACTACTTTTGTCTCATTTTATGTGACATTGCTAGATTAATTTTAAGAATCAGTCAATTTATTTTTTCTATTTTTTTAATAAATATTTTAAGTAGTCAAAATCACGATTTATTGTATTTTATACATAATTTTTAACGATAGATTAATTTCAACAATTAATCAAATTTTTTTATATGTATTTATTTTTGAAATATTTTATGTTGTCAATTATCATGATTTATAGTATTTTTACGCAATTTTTAAATATAAAAAAAAATTAAGACAAATAAATTAAAATGGACGAAATATATGTTATTTTTGTTGTCTCAATTTATGTGACACAAATGAAATTTGAAGAGTCATCCAAATTTGCATTTAAAAAAAAATGTTCTAAATTATTAATTATTGTGATTTATAATATTTTTATGTAACTTTCAAATAACTTACATTGCTGGTCACTTTGTCCTAATTTATATGATATGGATAAACTTACAAAATTAACCCATTTAAAATGTCTTTAAGATATTTTAAGTTGTTAATTATTATTATTTATAATACTTTTTTGGTAATTTTGAAATGATATATGTTATTTTTTCTGTCCCAATATATGTGACCCGGATAGAATTTTGAGAGTCAACCTATTTTATTATATATCTTTTAAATATTAAATATTTTAAGTCATTTGTAAATGATTTATTATATTATATTATATATATATATATTATATTTATTTCTACTATATAATAAAAGGGGTTTTATTATGATATTATATATTATATAAACTCCCTTTTATTATATAGTAGAAAAATAAATATATATTAATATATTATATAGTAGAAAAAATGATTTATTATATTATATATTATATAGGGAGTTTATGATGGGACACATAGAATGTCCCATCATAAACTCCCTCTTATATAATAGTAGAATTACAATTACAAAATTAACCCTTTTAAAATGTCTTTAAGATATTTTAAGTTGTTAATTATTATTATTTATAATACTTTTTTGGTAATTTTAAAATGATATATGTTATTGTTTTGGTCCCAATGTATGTGACCCAGATAGAATTTTGAGAGTGAACCTATTTTATTATATATCCTTTAAATATGAAATATTTTAAGTCATTTGTAAATGATTTATTATATTATATTATTATATAAACTCCCTTATAGTAGAAAAATAAATATATATTATATAGTAGAAAAAATGATTTATTATATTATATATTATATATTATATAGGGAGTTTATGATTGGACATCACAGTGTCCTATCATAAACTCCCTCTTATATAATAAGAGAATATAATTTCACTAGTATAAAAAAAAGAAGAGCAACGGATACAGAGGGAGAAAATGGAGAAATTGAGGAAAAAATCAAGAAAAAATCACTCATTCTTGACTCATTCAATTTTGGTATTTACTTCTAAGAATCACTCCTTCTTGACTCATTCAATTTTGGTATTTACTTCAAGAATCTTAGGTTTTTTTTCCAGTTGGTGAATGCAAGTGCGAGTTGCTAAGTAACTGGGGTTTACGTTGAAGCTGCAATGGAAGAGTAAGTAATCTTTAAATCCAGTGGGTTCTTTCCTTGTTTTGATAAAGTTTACAAGACTAATAGATCTTGAAGTTGGTTTGAAGTAAATCTTGATGTTCTTAGGTAGTAAAGGTGAAAGATTCTTGATATGTTAAGGAAATTTGATGGTAGAGAATTTACGGGAACGCAATGTGGGTGGGTGGGTGGCTCCAATTGAATGTGTTGTCTGTGTTTGCAGGGAGAACTCTATAGAGCTTCTACAAAGATTTCGGAGGGATAGGCGGATACTGTTGAATTTCATACTTTCAGGAAGCTTAATCAAGAAGGTGGTAATGCCCCCGGAGCTGTTTCCTTGGATGATGTGGATCTTGATCAAGTTAGCGTTGATTTTGTCCTCAATTGTGCAAGAAAAGGTAGGGAATGTCCACCACAAAATATAGCCTCTACTTATTTGCTTTAAAATAGATTGCATTTGCAATCATCAAGTCATGACTGATTTTGTTGTTTTGGTATTTACTTCCAAGAATTATTCCCTCTTGACTTGTTCAAATTTCATTCAGTTTTGGTATTTACTTCAAGAATCTTGCATTTTTTTTTTCAGTTGGTGAAGGCAAGTGTGAGTTGCTAAGTAACTGGGGTTTATGGTGAAGTTGCCAGGGAAGAGTAAGTAATCTTTAAAACCTTATGGGTTCTTTCCTTGTTTTGATTAAGTTTACAGGACTGATAGATCTTGAAGTTGGTTTGAAGTAAATCTTGAAGTTCTTAAGTAGTTAGGGTGAAAGATTCTTGCTATGTTAAGGGGATTTGATGGTAGAGAATTTACTGAAACACAATGTGGTCAGTGGGTGGGTGGGTGGCTCCAATTGAATGTGTTGTCTGTGTTTGAAGGGAGAACTCTACAGAGCCTCTACAAAGATTTCAGAGAGATAGGCGGATACTATTGAATTTCATTCTTTCAGGAAGCTTAATCAAGAAAGTGGTAATGCCTCCCAGAGCTGTTTCCTTGGATGATGTGGATCTTGATCAACTCGTTGATTTTGTCCTTAATTGTGCAAGAAAAGGTAGGGAATGTCCAGTACAAACTATAGCCTCTACATAATTGATTGCAATCAAGTCAGGATTGATTTTTTCTTTTGGGTAGACGGACTCCTTGAACTATCTGACAGCAATCTGTTCCCTCATATGGTAAATTCGGACTTGCACATTCATTATTATATGTTCTTGGGTCATTATTTATGAATGTTCTTGTTCGGGATTGCAAATACATTGATTTCTGTTCAATATTTACTATTTGTGAATGTTCCATTTACCGAGGCTTATCTATTGCTGCTTAGAATTATTTTCATATGGGGTTGTTGTGTAGCAATTTTTCCTATCCCAAAACATTATTTAGTGTGTTCTATGCACATCAATGTTTATTTTCATTCCTCAACGCTTTCCTTTTTGTATTAAGAGTAATGCAGGTTCAAATGATGAATTCTTTCTAGCTACAAATCCTGAACTATCGGGTTTGCCTCCAAGAAGATTACCCCCGCCTGTCCCTATTTCCACACCATCACCAATTATGCCAACACTCTCCACATCAGACAATTGACTGAACCATTTGAAGAGCTGTCCAGTTTATCCAAATCTCAGTCTCTCAGTTCCACACAACAACAAGAGTTTAACAATGCTGCTGCTGATCTTGTGCTTGGATTGTCGTCATTTGCTACTGGTAAGCATGCTTATTATAGGTGTACATGTGTATGGTGGACCTGTAACTTCTGCTATCATAAGTGTGACCATTTCATTTTTGCAGTATTAGGTTGTAATTTGCTTCTTTTTTTAGCTCTAAGGTGCTATATCTATAGTGCTGGTTATACCAGAAAAATAAAAGATGGAGGGAGAGTAATGGTTACCATTTTCAAAAAAAAAAAAAAAAAAGGACCGGGAGAGTAAGAGTACTTTGATATTTTTCTCTGGTTCTATATTTGTACTACTGGTAACTTTGTGCTTAGGATGCTGGCACATGACTAGGAAGCTATTAACAACATTGATGCAGATGTATCGTATAACTGCTCTAGTTAAGGAAACTCTTTCTGTGCTTCTTTATTTATTTTTATAATGGAGAAACTAGGGTGACATAATTTTGCCAAAATTATATGGGGCAGTTCCAAGTGAAAGATTGTGTTGCCAGTAAATTAAGCTTCTTGGATTTATTGTCTTCTGACCTCGGCATTCTAACTGCTCAGAACCTTTTTATTGGTTGGTGGCGGGATGGTTTTGCTAATAAAGCTTCCATGTGTCATGCTCAATATTTTATGTAGTGAATCTGGTGTTTTTCTTAGCCTTTTCTTGTTTTAAGTATAGATTGAGACTGTGTCTGGGACATTGGTACTACGATGGGTGAATTCACAACTTGCAAGGATTTTGAATTGGGTTGACCGGGATATTCAGCAGGAGGTAATAACTTAGGGAGTTTCTAAATCTATAGATTGTAGTTCATTTAACAATTATATCAATTATTTAGCTGTTCCTTTGTCATTATACTTCTATTCCCTATGCCATTTGTCATTAATCATTTATCATTTTAAATTTTTCTATCTATATCCTTTTTTATAAAGTTAAATGAGGCATCTCCTGGTTTCAATATTCACGGTTATGATAATAAGAGTAAATTGAAATCCTCCTTCTAACCAAAGACCAGTCTTTTAGCATATGAAGTTAATTACCTTTTTATGGTTTTCCAGCGGTGGGTACCGGTTTCACCTCAACAAAGGCATGGAAGTTCCATTGTTGAAGTCTACAGGATTGTGGAAGAGGTTCACAAATCATACTCTGTTCTTTTGCATAGTTATTTTTCTCAATTTTCTGGAATCAGTTTATTCAGTTTCCATGGCATAAGTTTATTGTGTTTCGTAATGGAATTACAGTAATATGGAAGAAGAGTTGCGATAATTTGTCAGCAACAAGAAAAGTTATTTCTTTATTGATTTATTTTGTGTACAGCGGGAAAACTGGACTTTAAATTAGTAACGTATGAAATCATAATGCTACACTAAAAAAGCCAAATCTAAATTCTAGGCTTTTGTGCTTGAGGGCTAAGTTTGATCACAAACTACTCTCAGCTGCGAGATGAAGTTTGTGTGTCCTTCCTGTCGATGTTATCTATAGCAGCCTAGCTTCTTTTCCTTTTGGTGCATGAAACTTAAGTGAAAAATACTTAGCTTTTGGAACATATACACTTGAAGATTCACAAGCTTCTAAAGCTCCAGTTCCCTACCCATGTGGTGTGGGGTGGGTGAGAAAAAAAATAGAAAGAGGAAGTCAACTTTAAAATGTGGCTCAGATTTTGAACATTCTGCTTTTATCATTGTTGATTCTGTTATGCCGACAGTGGTTTACAAATGCTTTTATACGATACCACATTTTGTAATGAGTTGAGCAATTTTCTCACTGCAGACGGTCGATCAGTTCTTTGCTTTGGAAGTTCCAATGAGGCCAGGAGAACTGGGTAGCCTCTTTCGCGGCATTGATAATGCATTTCAAGTATATGCAAAGACCGTTTTAGATAAGATTGGTATATACTTTCTTTCTGCACAATCTTAAAGATTTCCTTTTTTTTTTCACAGTGAAGAATCCTTCATACTGAAATTTTACATGCCTGTTGTTGCAGTTTATTAGCTTAATTGTCTCCTGGTTCATTTTGTGTCTTGCACTATGATTTGATGAATGACATCAATGTAATGGATGAAGGAACTATTAGATCAGAATCTGTTTTCTGCAGTATACAAAACCCTTTCACCGTAGGAAGTGCGGGGTACCTCTTTACAACAGAATTTCAAAG